GGACAGACAAGAAGGGGGGTTGTTTTAAAACCCTTTTGTGTTTGATTGTCAATGTACCGTGTCCCACTCCGACGCTTGAAGTGGAGGCGTCACAATGGCAGGAGTAATATTGGTGCTGAGCGCTGAGGCGTGATCATCGGCAAGGCTGCTATCTGATGGTCGCGTTCTTTCTGCTCCGTCCTTGGGCCATGTGGTGCGTTACTGTCAGATTCCTAATCCCGTCAAAACAGATGCTATCCTGCCTCTTCACATTTAATTACCTGTGTGCCGCTCAGAGGTGGCCGCACTGGCCTCTGAGATGTGGCAGGCAGACAGAGTGGGCGTGCAATGATAGGAACGGAAAACTGGGGAATGAGATGGTATATCCCTGCATTAACACACGGTTTACTGGGTCACTGTCAAATCGCATTGTTTACGACTTAGTCACCTTCCTGATACTTTCTTGTAGGACTGTTATTGTTATGTTTGACGTGAACTTCATTTATCTACTTCAAAAGGTGTGATCTCCTTTTGCATCACGACTCTGCACATACCTGAGGAGAAAAAGCCGTCTTCCCACTTGCTACGTTTTGAAATATCTCTCATGCCCCCATTTTCGGTAACACCAGAGGGCCCAGAGATATCAGAGACCCCCCCCCCCCACCGTATGGGAGAAATACGATGTGGATGCAGGGGCTGAACGTAATCCGTGCCCCCCCCCCCCCCCCACCCCATCCCACCTCACCCCACCCAAAGTCGGAAATCACAGCCTAGTCATCGCTTGTTGCACAGCTAGCTGCCACGCGAGTTGTCGGCCCTGACAGGTCATTTACGGGGGAGGGGGACGGCCCCCAGATGCGGCCGAGGTGATATCAGATCCGCATCGCGCTCCCATTCACGCTGCAGTCGCGTTACTGAGTCTGGGTTAGCTATGGCTATGTGTTAGCACTGCCTGGAGGACAGCATGCCCTTTCTTCAGCCTGCCTACGTCTTCATGCTGTCCTCTGCTCCACCTAAGCTGTACTATTTCTGGGCTGTTATGTTACACGACAGTGATCTAGTGTTTTTCTCTTTTTTGCTCATTTATTTTCATCTTGTAGCTTAAGCTGTTATCTCCATTTACTGTAAATTCCATTTCCTCATCGCTGGCTTAGATTGATTAAAGCAAGATTTTATTCTCAGAAGTAAATGCCTTAAGGAGAATTATACTTGGAATGTGAAACCATATACCCGCCATACATACAGGGCTTTTCATAAACAGGAAAATGCCATCTATTCAAAATTAGATTTCTAGATAGGTAAGTAAATGTAGGTGTTTTATAGCAGGAATCACTCAGTATGATATACGGTGTAACTGTGGTGACAAGGGTCTGCTCTGGGGTTGAGGAAAACTGACCAAGTCACCCAAAAGTTCTCTTTCCAGCTCTCGGTGATGGACGCTTTTCCCAGTTCTGGACACTTTCGCTAAAATGAGCAGGCAGTGGGATCGTACTCCCAAGATCTCATAAGCATTTCTGTCTGTGACCTCAGAGTGATTTACGGAGGGATGGGACGGGGAACTCTGTGAGCACAACTGTTACTTATACTTTCAGTCGGTATGGGGGGGGGGTCACTTTCGAAGTGGGAACTCAGCTCATTTAATGAACAAATTATTTAATCCCTAAGCTCCTTTGTGTGTGTGTGTGGTCATGTACATATTACATTGTGGGGACATTGGTCAATCAAATCAAAAAACTAATAATGCCAAACGTTACTTACAGCTAAGGTTAGGACTGGGTAGGTGTTAAGGTTGCACCCTTTTCTGAAATACAGTCATTATAGAAATTGAAATAAAATTAATGGAGTGGAGTGACTTGATTAAAATATGTGAACTACACAGTTTTACATTATTGTTCTGCTTTACATTACATATGCAACACAAACACTAACAAAAGCCAGAAGACGATTGTAGGGGCAGCGTGTGGCACAGTGGGCTAGGCTTCTCACCCTGCGAGCAGTAGGTCACTGGTTTGAGTCTGGCCAGTCCTTAAGCAAGGCCCTTAACTCCCAGCTCCCAGGGCACTGCTATAGGTGGCTGCCCTTCACAGCCAGCTTGCTGTCACCTTCAGAGAATAAAGAGAATTTCCCCACAGGGATCAATAATCATTATTAGTGGGCAAACACATCTCTAATCTCCCTATAGTTTCCTTTGTTGTCAGAGTTTTCACATACAGAACTAGCTGCAATCAACAACTGTATTTATAAATTTTAATATCTTTTACTCTTGCCTCTTTCTTGAACAGGTGACTATCTTGACTGAACTAATGTTCTGAATGGTTAAAAGTGTGTCAATCATAATTCCCTAACACGCATGTCATCCATATAACAAACTAATTGCCCCTTTAGTCACTCAATCAACCAATGAACCAAATCTAAATGATAAAGAGTTAAATCACACTAGAGATGCCTAAGCTTGATTGCTGCCAGCCCTGTTGAATCTATATCTCACTTAAATAGACCCATTCCAGCAACGTGGAGTTGGATAAGGGTTCCCAGGAAGCAGCACAAAATGACACAATCAAAAATAACTTCCTTGAAAACCTGAGAAAGAACATTACTAAAATTTATCAGTCAGAAAAGGAGTACAAAGCACGCTCTAAATCCCTTGGACTCTAGCGAATGACTGTGAGAGCCGTCATCTCCAAATGTGAAAACAATCTTGCAACAGTAGCTAATCTGCCCAGGAGTGACCAGCCTAGCAGAATTACTTTCAAGAGCACATAGAAAACTCATCAAGGAATTCAAAGCAGACCCCAGACAAACATCTAAGGAACTGCAGGCTTCTCTCAGGTCAGTCTGCGTTCATGATTATGTGAATAAAAAGACACTGGGCAAGTATGGAATCCACAGGAGAGTTGGAACTATTTGGAAGTTGGGCCACGACTCTCAGGAGTTTGTGATCCATGCTTAAAATTCGAGCACAAATATTCCCCCCCCCCCACCCCCCCAAAAAAAAAATATCGCAGAGTTTGTGAGCCTAATGCAGTGTTCATTTATCTAGAATTATAATTTGCCTATTGATTATTCTGGACTTTCTTTACAAGACATTTTATTTTTAAACATTGTCTGTATTCCTATCCCAAATATGAAACTCATGGGTGATATGGGTGAATTATTTTCCTTCAATAAGTCAAATGATTATTTAAAAACTGTTCTGTTTACTCAGGTTCTCTTTTGCACTGTACTGAATTTGTTTTTGAGATCAGACACAATTGAGTGTTATGGACAAATAGAGGGAATTAGGGTAAATGCATAGTCATGGCACTGTTAATGTTACTCTTTGTTTTCTTTTTTGGTGAAGCTCTGCTTCATGTTTTCTTATAGAAACCTCCACTGGTGTTTGTGCATAAGTGTGTGTATGTATCTCTGTGTCTCTGTCCCTCTCTGTATGTCTGTGTCTCTGTCCCTCTCTGTATGTCTGTGTCTCTGTCCCTCTCTGTATGTCTGTGTCTCTGTCCCTCTCTGTGTCTCTGTCCCTCTCTGTATCTCTGTGTCTCTGTGTCTCTGTCCCTCTCTGTATCTCTTTGTCTCTGTCCCTCTCTGTATCTCTCTGTCTCTGTCCCTCTCTGTATCTCTCTGTCTCTGTCCCTCCCTGTGTCTCTGTCCCTCTCTGTATCTCTGTGTCTCTGTGTCTCTGTCCCTCTCTGTATCTCTATGTCTCTGTCCCCCTGTACGTGTCTCTATGTCTCTGTCCCCCTGTACGTATCTCTATGTCTCTGTCCCCCTGTACGTATCTCTATGTCTCTGTCCCCCTGTACGTGTCTCTATGTCTCTGTCCCCCTGTACGTGTCTCTATGTCTCTGTCCCCCTGTACGTGTCTCTGTGTCTGCCACATACGCTGTAAAATTATGGATTTGGATGCCAGACCCCCACCAACATATATTTCTGGCTGCGGGCCTGCTATCTGTCCCCTGTTGTGTCCTGCACATGTGCCCGACCAGCCTGCCTTTTGCTCGACTTGCACTCTGCTGCTCCTGAGATCAGTGCTCAGACGTGGGAGTGCATCAGCAGATGTGGAAGGTAATCCTGTTAATCCCAGAAAATCATTTTGCCTTGCTTGAACCCAGGACTACTTTACACAGGTCTAATCCAGTTAATTCTACGATTGAAAGGCAGTTTCGTTTTCTTACTCTAAAGATGCTCCTTATGGAAAAGGTATTGATTTTGTATTTGCATGGTATTGATCTCCAAATCGCTCTTCATTTTTCTTGGTCTGGTGAAGATGGCCGAGATTCCCTTAATCCCTGCTTGTTGTGGATTGAACTGAAAGTTGACAGCTGGGATAAGTGGAGATTTATGACTGTTGCCGTGGCTGATCTCTCAGCTCCTCAGCGAGCTGGCATGACAGGCAGGTCACTCTGCAC